AAGATCCATTTACAACTAAAATATTTTTTAAAGTTCCATGGTTTGCCCCATGGCGGGCATTGGCCTTCCCGTCCCTGGACAGCTCACCTGGGGACTCCTGCCCTTGGTCTCCCCACTCCCAGGTCAGCTCTTGTGCCCCCAGCCCATGAGTCCTACCCCTGACTGCTTCCTGTCCCCCTCGCCCCCACAGGACGATCCAGTCACCAACCTGAACAATGCCTTCGAAGTGGCTGAGAAATACCTCGATATCCCCAAGATGCTGGATGCAGAGGGTCAGTATGTCCTTTTGGTTCAGTGACCACCTTTCTCTCCCGCCTCGCCTGTCTGGTCTGGCACTGGGCCAGGGCCTGCAACCTCACCTGACCTTGGGGGTAACCTCAGGGAGCTCAGCCGGTGGAGTCGGGGGAGGGCTGAATAAGTCCTGGTGCACGGGACACCTGGACGGCGCATCACCTTGGTCCCGGAGCAGGGGCAGCGAGAGCCGACCAGGTCTCTGTGGGGTGGAGAAGGGCGGGGAAGGAAGCAGCTGGGGGGCGGCTCTCTGGGCCTGGGGCAGGGTGGTTGGCCACGGCGCACTGGCTCCGGCTTCCTGCGCCCAGCCGGCCCCCCACCTCCCTGCTGTCCAGGCCGCCAGGGTGGAATTTTGTTTTTTCCTTTTCCGACCTCACTCCAGCCAGCACCACCCCCAACCAGGACCCATGTCTCTGGCCTCTGGTGGCCCCTGGAGTTGACTGTCCTTCAGCCCCTCGAGGCCACCCTCAGAGAGGAAGTGGCCTCCTTCTGATCCAGTTCCCACAGCCTTGGCCTTTCCTGAGACCCCGGGGTTCGGGGCGGAGGGTGCACCCAGACCCGTGGGTGCCCCAATCAGTTCTGAGGGTCCTTCTCCCAGGACAGCGTGGCCTCGGGAGCCTGCTCGGGCGGCTTAACCCCTGTCGTTCACTTGCAGACATCGTGAACACGGCCCGGCCCGACGAGAAGGCCATAATGACCTATGTGTCCAGCTTCTACCATGCCTTCTCAGGAGCGCAGAAGGTACCGGGCAGGGCCGGGCAGGCCCTCCTCGCCGCCGCTGCCCAATGCCGCCGCTGCCTCTCGCCTCCCACGCTCACCTCATTTCTCTTGCAGACGGCAGTGGCCTCTCTCCAACTGGAAGCCACCCCCCCACTCCTGGGCATCACTGCCTGTTCAGTCTTTGCTCTAGTGTCTGTCGGGTGCCTGGCCGTGCCAGGCTGTGTTCTAGGCAGTGAGGACAGAGTTGTTGCCAGTCAGGCAGGTTCCCTGCTCTGTGAGCGCGGACGCCCTGGCTGTAACCACCATAGGTCAGCACACAAAATTATTTCATGTGGCGAGAAGTGTGGTAGAGGACTTGGGACAGGATGGTGGCCTAGAGATAGCTGTGGTGACTTAACTGGCCGTGAACAGGAAGGGGTGATGTGAGTAGGCTCTTGGGGTGAGGAGAAGGACTGAAGATTATGGTGAAGACATTCCAGAAAGAGTGAGGCAGGTGCAAAGGCCCTGAGGCAAGGATTAGCTTTTACAAGGAAAGGCTAAAGAGAAGAGAATGAGGGGAAGAATGAGATACGGGGCCAGACTGTTGGGGCTCATCATAGTCTGGGACGAGGAGGTGTAGAAGAACACTAGGAGTAAGGAGTCACACCCAACATGTAAGCCCCTGCTTACATTTTCAGAAAATAAGTCTGCCTTGGTTCCTCCAGCCCCAAACAAAGCTGCTTTTACAGAGGCCGCGGCAAGTCTGCTTCACAGAGCCCTGGTTTGGAAAGGAAGTAGCTTATCCAGACCTTTCTCCCTCTGTTCACCAGGCAGCCGCACCACCCGGGCCTGGGGGGCTGGCTTCCAGTCCAGAGCAAGCGCTGTTCCTCCCGCATGAGCCTTGGGCCAGCCGGCTCCCTGCCTGCATCTTTCACTCTCTCTGCCTCTCTCTCTCTCTCCCTCTCTCTCTGCGCAGATATTGTGGGCACTCTGAGGCCAGATGAGAAGGCCATCATGACTTACGTGTCCTGCTTCTACCACGCTTTCTCGGGGGCCCAGAAGGTGAGCCGGGGTGGGAGGACCCTTGCTGCTGTGGCTGCGGACTTGCCCTCTGTCACCCTACGTCACCACTGTCTGTTCACATATGGTCAGAGCCCTGGCTAAGCAGGGCACCAGAAGGGCCACCCAGGACAGATGTCCCGTGACTTGGTGTCCCCAGTGCCTCCCGCCGTTTGTCTTTGTGGGACTTCTGCAGGGTCCCCAGATGTGCTCTGTTTGAGCGCAGCCCACCTTGTGAGTAGGCGGAACATCCTGCTCAGACAAGGAGAAGCCCAGTGCACAGTAGGTGGCAGAGCTAGGATGGGACCACGTGGCATCCTTCTCAGGGCCTCCCGCCTGCTGGCCCCTGGCCCCACCCAGGCTCAGCTCTGCAGGCTGGCCTTCTCTGGAGCTCCCCGCTCTCCCACCCGCCCTCCAGAAGCCGAGCCAGCTTGGGTAGAGCTGGCAAAGGTGCCCACAGGCACCTTTCCCTGAGCCTGCTGACCGTATGCCACCCCTGGCCCCTCAGGGGCTCTCGTTTAGTGCCTCTGTGCCCTCCCTGGTCTCTGAAGCATCGCGGGCAGCGGAGTGTTCCGCTAACTTTGTGTCAGCGTTTGGTGCAGAGGACGAGGAATCAGTCCTTGTTTAAAGAAGAAGTGGGACTCTAAAGTCCCAGGACCACGGCTCCTGCTGCCTTCTGTAGACCACCTTGTGTCATTGTGACCTTGGATAAGGCACATCCCTCCGTTTCCCCATCTATGAAATGGGGCTCGCAGTAGCCCCTCTTACAGGATTGTTCTGGGGTAAACAAGGCCCTGCAGGTACAGCCAGTGTTCCGTGAGTGGCCAGTGGGGTTGCCCCTGCCCTGCCAGGTGGGCACGGGTGGTGTTTTCTGTCCCCCTGGCCACATGACCAGATGGAGCCCCTTTCCCTTCTACTGGCCTGTGACTGGGGCTGATGTCTGCCATGTTCTGCTGGAGGGCACAGGCAAGGGACACCCAGGGAGGACGCACCCTCCCCTGGGAGGAGGGTCCTCACTGCAGACCGGCCTACGCACACTTCCCACTGGACTTGCCCACTGTGGTCCTCCCTGCCCACCACACCGCCCTCACCAGGTGGCTGTTCCTCTTCCTAAAACGCCCCTGTGCTCGGAGCTGAACTCTGGTGGTGGTCGAGGGTTCCGAGGGATTGTGGGAGCAGAAGCTGACGGAAAGGCGGGTCAGAGTGGTTGGAGGTTTCTGGGCAGCTGGGCCTAGAAGCTTGTTGCAGCCCCTCCTGTGGAGGAGACATGGGCCACCCTGCAGGACACGGGCCTGTCCTGGAAGGAGAGTGCTAGACTCCGGTGGCGTCGGCCTTCGGCTGTGAATTCACCTCTCAGGTCTCCTCATGATGCCTGTTATTGCTGTGGTCATCTCCCAGAGATTGGTCCCATCTCTCTCTTAAGGGTGCTTTCTGGGGTTTTTGTTTCATAACTGCAAGGTCACCCCAGCCTGGCCTTGAGTGGCCCTCTTTCCTGGTCATCCGTAAACACCGCCTCTTTCTTCCTTTACTCACTCAGTTCACTCACCAGCCCTGAGCACCCGACCCCTGACCCCCGAGCTGGCTGCCAGGAATCCAGTGACCCCACATCCCTGTGACCAGCAGCATCCTGGTGGAGAGTGGATTTAAGCTGGGGGTGCCAGATGTCACTGCCCGTTAGGGGTCAGAAACTGACCCCGCGACCCCCCCGCCAGCTGCTGCCCTGGCTGTGCTTCCTGTGCGCTGGGGCTGGTGTCACCAGCTGAGGCCCCGAGAGCTCACTTCTGAGGGGCACTGCCTGAGGTCCCTGGCGTGTCCTGCGCAGGGTGCAGGGTGTGTGCCCTTGTGTGTGCACGCGCTCACGCTGGCCTGGCTGGCTGCGCCCCTCCCTGCCTGCCCTGCAGTGTGGATGGGAGAGGCCAGGCCGAGTGCCTGGAGCCGTCTCCCGAGCCTCTGTTTTCCTCCCGTCGCTCTGTAGACCCTCCTCACTATTTCTGTTCCTGTTCTGTTGCCGTTTCAACTCCTCTTGGACCCTTTCTGTGCTTCCTGAAAGGTACCTGGCCTCTCCCTGGTGTGGCACCTCCCTCCTGCTCACACCTGTGCTCCCCCGCAGAGAAGGCAGGGCCTGCTGCCCACGCTGTGTTCTCCAGAGCCATGGCCCCTTCTGCCCACAGCTGATTTCTGCCCACGCGAGGTGGTAACACCCGCCCGAGGGGAGGAGAGGGGACCGGGCGTGTTGTACCCACACGCTGGCTGCTCCTGGGGCCAGAGCCCCCTGTGGCTCCCTCCAGCTGTTGTCCACCCGAGGCTCCTCCAGGACTTGGGCCCACTGCAGCCCCAGCGCTCCTCTTCGTGGGGACTCTGGCGAGGGCTTGTTCTCAAGACAGGAGGCTCCCGCAGGAGCACGCAGGGCCCAGCCGCCCTGCTGCAGTTGCACTTTCTTTCCTTCCCCCTCGGGAAGTTCTCTGAGGGCCATGGACAAGCTGCTTTCTAGGGACGCGCTGTTGGCGGGAGGGTCCCCAAGCCTGAGGCAGTCCTGACTCTGCACTTCTCCCGTCCCAGGCCGAGACCGCGGCCAACCGCATCTGCAAGGTGCTCGCCGTCAACCAGGAGAACGAGCACCTGATGGAGGACTACGAGCGGCTGGCCAGCGACGTGAGTGCTTGTGTCCCTGCCCCCCTGCCCGCAGCTTTGCTGACAGCTCCTGTTGCTCTTGGCCAGAGGTCCCCGCAGCCCTAGTAGGGAGATGGCAGGTGTGGGCACAGGGCGTGCGGTCGCCAGGTCGGGGCGCGGCCCTTTGGCCTGGTGGTACAGGGTCAGAGCCTGGTCCCTGTCGCAGCCAGCTCTTCCTGCAGAGATGCTCAGCAGTCACGTGACTGTTCTTCAGAGGCCACTGGTTTCCAGCCTTTGAGATTTCACAGACCAGAAGAATTCGACAAGTATCTGACAACCAGTCTAGGGCGGCCAACTTTTTATTCTGCCTACACATTTTACAAAAGCAAAACCGGGGTGAGGCTCGGTGCTTGAGCTCTTGCCTGCCACGCACGAGCCTGTGCCCCATCCCCAGTGCTGCAGCCGTCCTTCCCAACACCAGGCAGGGCAAAGAGCGGGGCTTCTGGGTCCCCCGCCATTGCCTGCGAGGGACCCTGCCCGAGCGTCAAGGTGCACTCTCAGGCAGACGCCTCTGTCCTCGGCCCCCTCACTTGGCTGGGGTTGGCGTTTGGAGCCACTTGCCCAAGTGCTCTCCGATAGACAGTAACTGGCTTTACCTTCCTAGAATTGTCCTAGAAAGATCAGAGTAGCTGCTAGGAATACACGTTACTTTCTTTTTCAATTTTCTGATGTGTTTTGGGTCCCAGGCCATGCTCCCTTGTGGACCCCTGCCCTTGTGACATTTACCATCCCTGAACCAGGCAGAGAGGCTCTTAGATAAGCTCAGGGAAGCCAGGGATAGTGGGTCACCTGACAGCGAGGAGGGGGCTTCTGAGGAGGGGTGTTTGCTGAGCTGCCCACGTAGACCTGGGAAAGAGGCAAGAGGTACAGCCAAGAGCAGCACGGGGGTTCCCAGGAGGCCTTGTTCCCAGAATCCTGTGCTGTGGGGTCCCAACAGGACTCACGGGAGAGCCAGGCTAGGGAGGAGGGGAAGCCCTGGGGGCAGGCCCACAGTGGTCCAGGTCCCATGCTCCATAGCTGGGGGCAGGCTGTGGGCACTCTGCCCTCTGCAAGGGTCACCACGGCTTCTTGTGGGCCCGCAGCTCCTGGAGTGGATCCGGCGCACCATTCCCTGGCTAGAGGACCGGGTGCCCCAGAAGACCATCCAGGAGATGCAGCAGAAGCTGGAGGATTTCCGCGACTACCGGCGCGTGCACAAGCCGCCCAAGGTGCAAGAGAAGTGCCAGCTGGAGATCAACTTCAACACGCTGCAGACCAAGCTGCGCCTCAGCAACCGGCCGGCCTTCATGCCCTCCGAGGGCAGGATGGTCTCGGTGAGCGCCCGCCCCAGGGGGCCATGCCCGCGGGACTGAAGAGCAGCTGGGAGGGGCAACGGCAGCTCAGAACAGCCCTTGGGCTTGGCCTGCTGCTCGGCCAGCATGTCTCCCTCAACCAGAACACATGGCCTCTGGGGCTGGCTGGCTGAGGGACACTCCCTGGTGTCACACTTGAGTGGTGTGTGTGGAAGTTTGAATTTGGACCCCTAGGCTGCTGTAACCCTAGGATCGGGGGTCACCTCTGGCTCCATAACCTCACCCACAGCATCCCTCTGTCTGTCCATCCATTCACTCGCTCTCCAGTTCACAGACTCATTCAGTTAATGCAGAGGAACCCAGGGACCGAGTGTGCTGGGCTCTTGGCACCTGCACACGGCAAAGCGGGGTCGGGCAGGACTGTGGCCCCGCCGCTGACCTTCTGCAGCCTCCTATGACAGCCCTGCCCTCTCCTGCCCCCACAGGACATCAACAATGGCTGGCAGCACCTGGAGCAGGCGGAGAAGGGCTATGAGGAGTGGCTGCTGAATGAGATCCGCAGGCTGGAGCGGCTCGACCACCTGGCAGAGAAGTTCCGGCAAAAGGCCTCCATCCACGAGGCCTGGACTGACGGTACGGCCCTCTTCCCCGTTCCTGCTCAGATGTGCACACACGCACGCACCCCCGGACCCCCTGCTGTGCAGGGTCTGTGTGTCCAGCCCCTTTCCTGTCTTGTCTAAAGCTGCTTTGGGACTCGTCCAGCCCCAGGCAGCAGGGCGCACCTGGGGCCATGTCTTCCTTCTTGCCCAACCTGCGCTGGCCTCAGAGATTATTACAGGCCTCTTCCTGGGTCATGAAGGGTCAGTCATCCAGGAATGCAGCCAAGCCCTGTCCTGCTTTTAGGGAAGTGACTGTATAGCTGTGCCGTGGCTTCTCTGAGGCAGTTCCCATCCCCATCCAGGTCAGGCATATGGACAGGGCTCTCCTGTCCCTGGCACCATGTTGGGACAGTCTGCCCCCGTCTCACACTGCTGGTGCCGCATGCTGAAGAGCTCGCGTGTTCCCAGCTGCCTCTGGCTCTGCTGCGGGACCTGCAGTGGCGCTCGCTGGAGCCCCTCCTTGCCCTGCTTCAGGGCCTCCTGCCAGGGGCCTGGACCCCTGCAAGATGGGTCCACTTGGAGGGAATTCGTGTCGCCTCCTGTTTCCCGGCGGCCTCGGAGCTGCCTGTGCCTTGGCTCGGGATGTAGAATTCCATCACGTCCCTGGCCCTCGGTCGGGACCCACACCATGGTTGAGATTCCAGATTCCAGGGGCCAGAAAACTATCAGTCCTGGGAAAGCCAGAGAAGAAAGCAAGCACAGGCCAGGGGCGGGGTTCACGGGGGCCCTGGGTTCAGCCCCAGCTCTGGTGCCGGTGGGAATGTGGGGGACAAACACAAAAGCCCTCCAGGCTCCTCGCTCCTGCTCGTGGCCCATACTGCCTCCTGGCCCTGCTGGCCCTCCTGGCCCTCCTGCCACCATGGCCCAGCTGATCCCCCTTCTCGCCTGGTGTGGTCCTTGGCTCTTCTGCCCCTCACTCCTCACAGAATCTCCATCCAGCCTCTGGGACCTCTGCTAGCCACTGTCCACCCTGCTGTGTGGGCAGGCCACCCCACCCCTGTCCCAAGAGGTTCCCATGGCAGCTCCACATGACCCACAGGCCTGTGCCCACCTCAGCTGTCCCTGGCTGTGGCCAGCTCGTGCCCTTCACATGAGCTCAGCCTGCCCTTCTCCAACAGCAGTGCCAGATCCACAGCGATCCCCTGGTCCTCTCTGCCAGGGACACATGGCAAGGCCAGGAAGCTGGCCAGGCAGGGACGGGGGGTGCAGGCCCCTCTCCTGTGCCTCATAAAAGTGGTACCTAGGAGGAGGGCGTGATGGCTGCTGCTGTCTCCTGGGGAAGGAGGCTGGCGTTCAGTCCGTATGTTTGTTCAATAAACGTGTCTTCAGCCACTCTCCCAGACAGGCCTGTACGCAGCAGCTTTCCTGCCCAGGGAATGCTCGGGCCAGCGAAGGTTTGCATTTCCCTTGTCCTAGAACCCCTGGCCACAGCAAGGAGAGGTTACAGCACCCACGTCCCGCGCTCAGGCTGAGCCGTCCCCTGCTGTCTTGCTCCACATGCTCCTCCTCCAGGGCTGCTGGGGTGTCTGCCTATGGGTTTCCTTTCTGGGCACGTCTTTCAGTGCCCTCTCCAAGGCTCCAGGAAACCCTGGGCAGTGGTTTTCTGAGGGGCGTGGGTGCGATGGCCCACCAGAGCCCTGTCCCTGGGAATGACTGGGTCTGGCCTTCACCTAAGGAGTTTAGAAGTTAGCTTAGTCCTGGGCCCGGGCCCGGCTGGTCCAGGAGCCTCCACATACCCCTGCCTGGCTAGGCGTCCCCTCCGCCACAGGCGTTTGGCATCAAGCCCTGCCCTGCATCAGCCCGGAGTCCCGGGCAGACCTGCCAGCTCCCGTGCCCGAGACCAGAGCTTGTCCTCTGAACCAGAGAAGGGGCTGGCCCGCAGTGCCCTGCGCCCCTGCAGCAGTCAGGACGCCTCCTCAGTCCAATTAGGGGTCTCGGGCTGGTTTGAGCATCACTGCTCAGCGCTGCAGGGCTGAGGATCCATGCAGGTGCTCCTCGCTGGGACCTGGATTTCCTGGAAATGAAACCAAACACCAGTGAACCCCCACGTCCCTCCTCTGGCTGCCACTTGGCCTGATCTGATATGGTTTGGCTGGGCCTGCTCCCTGGTTCCTCAGGCGGCCCCTCCAGCTGCCTGCTGAAGCGCAGCCGAGGCCCAATGCTAACCTGCTATTTCTGGTTCCCACCCCAGGGGAAGGCGGTCTGGAGAGGGGAACTGCCCGCTAGCCTCTGTGGTCAGGCCTCCCGAGGGGGTGGGGCGGCCGACTGGCCAGGGAGTAGTGTCTCCCGGGCAGCCCACCGCTTGCCTGCGTGCCAGGCCCTGCCGAGGGGTGGCTGGTAGTTGCCGGACAGAAGAGGCTGTGGGTGGCTGAGATGAGCATAGCACTGGCTCCGCACCCGCCACTCTCACGTCACCTCGCTGAAGCCTGGACTAGCCCGATGCCATGTAGCTGCTGCTGTTGGCCCCATTTTACAGATGAAGGATGGGACCCAGAGACTTATTAGTCACCACACGGGGTGGCAGCTGTTTGTCAGGTGCTCTGGGCAGAGCCAGAAGGGGCTCTCTGAGCTGCCACTCCTAGCAAAGGAGCTCAGCTAAAGCAGGGCCCCTTAAGAGCAGGGTCCTCACTCCCCTCCCGCAGGCTGGCGCACTCCTCTCTGTGCCTTGCAGTCACCTCACTGGCTTGCAGGGTTGGCTTGAGCTTTTGTGCTGGGTATGTCATTAGTCAGGCTCCAGGACTAATAACAGTGTTCCTCCCTTCAAAGGGCCTCACAGCAACCCCGCCCCACTGCATATCAACAGCCAGAGGACAGTGGGAAGGGGCTGAGATGTGTGGTGGGATCACCACCCGAGGAGCCTGGCTCCAAAAGGCTGTGGTGCAGGCTCGGGGCCAGGCTCCCAGGAGAACCCAGACCCTGAAGCTGCCCCTTCCCTGGCCCTGCCGGGCGAGTGGGCCTTGGGCCCAGGTGCTTCTCCAGGTCCTGTCCACCAGAAACGGGGTCTAGCTTTCTGGCCCTGCTGCCGTGGTCCGATTCTATGGTCCCCTCCCAGTAAAGGGGGTTGAGTTCAGAACACATGGGTTGAGTTGGGATCTGTCTCAGACCCACAGACTCCATCCAGAACATACTTGGGCCTAGAGATCCCTGGAGGGCAAGGAAGAAGGTTCTGGAAGTTTCTGGACTCATAGTACCTCCCTCGGCAAGGAAGGATGTGGAGTCCACATTCCCCTTCCCCTCCTAGTTGGACAGCCCCATGGCTGCTGGGCTGCTGTCCAAGTGCCTCTGTGCACCCACCCCCAGGGAAGGAGGCCATGCTGAAACACCGGGACTATGAGACAGCCACCCTGTCAGACATCAAAGCCCTCATCCGCAAGCACGAGGCCTTCGAGAGTGACCTGGCCGCACACCAGGACCGCGTGGAACAGATTGCAGCGATTGCCCAGGAACTCAAGTATGTGTGGGCCCTCTGCGCCCTCCCCTGGGGGGTGGTGGAAGCATCCCGGGTCCAGCCTACCGTGGCCTGGAATGGGGCCCTTGAGCCTTCACCTCCTAGATACCACGAAGGGCCTTCTGGGGTAAAACTTTTGGCCCCTCCTGCCTCAGCCCTGAATGAAGAACAAGGAACTCTAGGTCCTCCAGCAGAGAAGAGGTTGCTGACCACTTGTCCTGAGTCCTCAGGCTTTAGGGGTCCCCGGGCCTCACCCGCCACCCTGCCCACCATACCATGTAGGCCCCCAGCCCCTGGCGGGGTGGACTGCTGGTCTGTTGCACTCCCAGCCGCTCCTCCCCGAGGAACCGGGCTGCACAGTTGGCCCATTGTTCCACCCAGCCTCTTCCCTCCTGCTCAGAATACACTTACTGTGAAGGCTTCCAGGCAGCCGGGTCTCGCCCCTCCCTTCCCCACCCTTCAGATAAACTTGTGTGCACAATTAGTACACTGAGCCCCTGGAGCCCGTGAATGGGGCCTTATTCCACCAGCGCAGCGGCTGCGGCAGGGAGGGCCTGGCGAGTGGGAGGCCCAGGCCATTACTTCATGGAAAATCCACAGGCCCTAAAGGGGCCGCAAGGCTCCCAAAATAGCCGTCTGCTCAAAAATAGGCTTCTTGGCTGGAGCTGCCTCTTCCACAGCCACCCCTGCCCTGCCGCAGTTGCCCCCAGAGTCCTGCTATTCCTGAAGATGGGTAACCCAGGCTAATGCCAGGGAGCCCCGCACTGGGCACCCTGGTTTCCCTCCTGCTCCCCCGTCCTTGCTGTGGGGTGCTCTGGGGCTTCCCATCTGCCCCAGACAGTGCTGTAGGGCTTCCACATGTACCCCCCAGGGTCCTGCATGTCCCTACCAAGGACAGCAAGGCCAGAGGCAGGTACCCTCAGGGGCTGTAGGGGCTATAGGGACCTGGGCAGGTGCCCCCAGCTGACTGGGCCAGCTGCATGAGACCTGTTGCCCTGACCTGGGGCCTGGGGCTTTCTAAACTGTTCTGGAAGAGAGAGGGAGGGTCTTTTGAGTGCTGTCCATGCCACAGTCATGGACAATAATAATAATAATAATAATAGTTCCCAAACAGCAGCAGCCCCCTCACTCGGGGTACAGCCCAAGAACGTACCAAGGGGGCACAATGGATGCCCGAAGCCGTGAATAACACCAAACCTTAGGTCTGCTATATTTTCTGTGCATACGTACCTATCGTGAAATTTAATTTATACAGTAGGCACATTAAGAGATTATCAACAACAAAGTAGTACAATTGTGACAATATACTGGAGTAAAGTTCACAGGGATGTGGTCATTCTCTCTTGAAACAGTCACGACATTGATGTTTTCAGTGGTACAGCAGACCCCTTATCTGAGGTTTGCAAGCCAAACCTCAGATAAGGGGTCTGCTGTACCATTATTATTTGCCTGTTAAGGCAACTTACTTATTTTCTTAAATATCAAATTGGTTACTTAGCATGAGATTGCATGCTAGTTACATCTTTTTTTCTTACTGCCCGTTGAAATGAATTAAATCGTTCATGAGTAGCTGTTGCTTCTTGTATTTACGAGGTGTAGAGGCTGCTCTGAGCACTTCATGTACATGAACTGACTGGACACCCCCATAGTCTCATCCCACGTCACAGATAAGAAAACGGAGGCATCTGGAGTAGGGGGTACACTCAGCCAGGATCATTAGGGGTCAATCATCATCAACCACATTCCAGAGCCCGTGGTTTGAGCCTCTGCACTCTGCTGGGTGTTCTTTAAATCAAGGAACAGCCAAAATCCCAGGCTTGTTAGGGCTGCACTGCAGCCCCCCGCCTGGTTGTTTAGAAGCCACTACTCCCACCCGCCCCACTCCTCCTGCCCTGGGCAGCTGATTACTACTGCCCTCCAGTGTTGGCCCTGGGACCCCTGGGGCAGGGTGCAGCTACACCCCTTGCCTGGGGTCTCACTGCCATGTGCCTGGCCCACAGCGAGCTGGATTACTATGATTCCCACAATGTCAACACTCGGTGTCAGAAGATTTGTGACCAGTGGGACGCCCTGGGCTCTCTGACCCACAGCCGCAGGGAAGCCCTGGAGGTGAGGAGGGGCTGGGTCACTGGTGGAGCCCTGGGCCCTGACTGTCCTTGAGGATGGTGGGTAGTGAGGATGATGCCCAAGTCCAGGGGCTTCTCCTGACCCCCCTTAGTGCTCCTTGGGACTCTTCCTTCCTCTACTCACCCGCTGACCTGCCCTCCTGCTCTGTCCCTGTCCCTATCCGCACATCACAGAAAACAGAGAAGCAGCTGGAGACCATTGACCAGCTGCACCTGGAGTACGCCAAGCGGGCCGCACCCTTCAACAACTGGATGGAGAGCGCCATGGAGGACCTGCAGGACATGTTCATCGTTCACACCATCGAGGAGATCGAGGTCTGCCAGGCCCCGGAACCCTGCTCCCTTCTGGGGGCCCAGGAGGTCCAGGCTGCCCCCCTCATTCTTACTCCTTCCCTTAGGGCCTGATCTCAGCCCACGACCAGTTCAAGTCCACCCTCCCGGACGCCGACAGGGAGCGGGAGGCCATCCTGGCCATCCACAAGGAGGCCCAGAGGATCGCTGAGAGCAACCACATCAAGCTATCTGGCAGCAACCCCTACACCACCGTCACCCCCCAGATCATCAACTCCAAGTGGGAGAAGGTGGGCCCGAGCCCCTCGCGGGGAGGGCTGGTGGGGCCGGCCAAGCAGGAGAGCCCACTGCCCTGACCACTCCTGCCGCGTGTCCCCAGGTGCAACAGCTGGTGCCAAAGAGGGACCGCGCACTTCTGGAAGAGCAGAGCAAGCAGCAGTCTAACGAGCACCTCCGCCGCCAGTTCTCGAGCCAGGCCAACGTGGTGGGGCCCTGGATCCAGACCAAGATGGAGGTGAGGGTGCCCCCCTTGCCCTGGGCGTGGGCGGAGTGGAGCATGTACCTGGGCGAGCTTCTGGGTCAGAGGGTCCCTGTGGCCCCTGGGCTTGTTAGGACCCCTGATCACCCTCTAGGACTAGGAGGGCCACCAAGTTATGTGGGCAAAAGTGGCAGCACTAGACAGAAACCTGGCCGAGGCTCGGGCAGGTGAGACTAGAGCAGCCCCTCCCTGCACGCTGCGCCTCGCGCCAGCCGCACCTCTGCACCTTGGTTCTGTCTCCAGAGTGGAGTGGAAGTTCTCCATTCCCCCCAGCAAATGCATCTGGCCGCTGCTCTGTGCTGGCCCCACGGGAGAGATACCACAGAGCAGTGAACAAGACAGTCGGCACTCCTAGCGGCTCCCTAGGGACCCTCTTGAGCCATAGGGTTTGGGGGCACTGCTGATAGCAACTCCAGCCACCTCCTAGTAAATGCTCGCTGTGGACCAGGCTGACAGTGAGCAGCCTCTTTAAACTCAGCAAGCCTGGGGAGGGGGCCTAGGAGGGCCAGCCTTGGGGCTCAGCGCTGTCTCTGCAGCCTGTAGAGCCTTGGACTTGAGGGTCCGCGGTTAGGAGCCACAGGCCCAGGCTCAAATCCTGGCTGCCTCTTACTGCGATAACCAGCCCCCTTGAGCTTCCATGTTCCCACGTCTGTGGTCAGGCCTGTTTTAGGTGCAGGCCTCACAGAGGGACCAGGGTCCAGTGAGCTTAGGGGTGTGACACACATGGCCCACGGACTCCCCATGATGGCTGCTTTTACCTGAGAGGAGGACCAGAGCGGGTAACCCAGAGCAGCCGGCCTTTAGGTCAGCAGTCCTGTGGCCCAGGACTCCAGGCTGGAGAGCCCCCCGGGGTTGGCTGGAGTGGTCTCACCCCTGGCGGCGCTGCCTTCCTGCAGGAGATCGGACGCATCTCCATTGAGATGAACGGGACCCTGGAGGACCAGCTGAGCCACCTGAAGCAGTACGAGCGCAGCATCGTGGACTACAAGCCCAACCTGGACCTGCTGGAGCAGCAGCACCAGCTCATCCAGGAGGCCCTCATCTTCGACAACAAGCACACCAACTACACCATGGAGGTGCGCAGGCCCAGCCGGGCTCCGCCGCTCGCCAGGCTCTCTGGTGGAAATGTTTTTTGCTATTTAAAATTTGTTAAAAGACTAGTTCAGCCCAGCGTGGTGGCGTACACCCATAATCCCAGCAGCTCGGGAGGCTGAGGCAGGAGGATTATCAGTTCAAAGCCAGCCTCAGCACCAGCAAGGCGCTAAGCAACTCAGTGAGACCCTGTCTCTAAATAAAATACAAAATAGGGCTGGGGACGTGGCTCAGTGGTCGAGTGCCCTTGAGTTCAATCCCCAGTACCAAAAAAAAAAAAAGCCCTACCTGTACTCCCCCATCACCGTGGCAATACCTATCTTGGGTTAGACTCACCCAGGGACCTGGAAGCCTCCCCCAGACCCTGACTGTGTGCAAGGGCAGTGTACCAGCATGATGAGAGTTTTGAAGCTGGTCCCCTTGGTGGCTTGAAATCAACCCTGGTGACAGCGTCTCATCATGCTGGTCCACAAATGCCACAAACCACTGTTTCCCATCCCCAGAGCCAAGGTTGAGCACTGGCCAGCCTGCCTCTAAAGAGGTGCCATGTGGATCTTGGCACAGGGTGTCGGGTCCTTGCCCCCTGCCATGTTCATCCCAGGAGTGAATGAAACCAGTGGTTGGCAGAGGTGGCAGAGAGGCCCCACGCCCCACATGCAGGAGGGTTTGGGGCTGAAGAGGCCCCAGGGGAGACCCCGACCAGCCACCACACCTACGTTCACGCCCTGCCCCTGCCCGGCTCCTCCCCAGCACGTGCGCGTGGGCTGGGAGCAGCTGCTCACCACCATCGCCCGCACTATCAACGAGGTGGAGAACCAGATCCTCACCCGGGATGCCAAGGGCATCAGCCAGGAGCAGATGCAAGAATTCCGGGCGTCCTTCAACCACTTTGACAAGGTGGACATCCCCCTGCCGCGGTCCCTCCCTCCCCTTTCACCATCCCGTCTGGCCCCTCCATCTCTGCATCTGTCTGTACCTTCACATCTCTAAGTATCAGCCGCCACTCAGGCCTGGCGGGATCTCAGCCAGTGACCCCGGGGGGCGCACACAGGAGAAGTGGGGGGGAGGCACATCCTTGCTGCCTATGGCTGAAACCCTGTGGCACACGAAGTCCCAGCATTCCCAGGATTTATGACCTGGCTTGGGAATCTGGCCCCCACACACTGTGTCCTTTAGAGGACCTAAGCACCCAGCCCTGCTGGGCTGATGTGCCACCACCTGGCGTCCCTGTGTACAGTCCAGCCTTAGCGCTACCCCTCTGGCCCTGGTGGCCCTCTCTCCTAGCCCAAATCACAAGGGCAAGAAGAGCCCCCGCTCCCTCCTGCACCCAGGACTGGGTTCTCATTGTCACCACTGCCCAGAGGAGGCCAGGGAGGTCCCTGGTTGCCTCGGGCCCCCTGGGCCGAGGCCCCAGCTGGCTCCTGCCCCAGCTGTCCCTGGCCATACCCTCATCTGTGTTGCCTCTAACTCTGTTTCCCTTCCCCGTGTGTCCCCCCACCCTCTGCATGTGGCTGGGTCCCCTCCCACCTCTGCGGCCTGGTCTCCACACCACCCTCCCGCACTCCCGCCTTGGATGGCCCCGGCAGGACCATGGCGGGGCACTGGGGCCCGAGGAGTTCAAGGCCTGCCTCATCAGCCTGGGCTACGACGTGGAGAACGACCGGCAGGTACGCGCACCCTGGGCCCCGAGGACGGCGATTAACTGCTCTCTCTCTCTCCTTCTCTCTCCTCCCCTCCCCTTCGCCTCTCCTGCCATCGTGTGTGCCATCTCACGGCTCTCTTGCCACCTCCCTGCCCTCGTGTCTCTCCGACACTTTCCCCCTTACCTGGTCTCTCTGGCCTCCTGTCTCCCCGCTCCCGCCACTGTCCTGTCTGCCCGCTGTGCACATGGGGCGGCCCTTCTTGCCTCCTCTGGGCCTGGCCTCCTCTGCTATGCCTGCGTCCTGGGAGCAGAAGCAGACAGGCAGCATGGACTCCGATGACTTCAGGGCTCTGCTTATCTCCACAGGATACAGCCTGGTATGCAGCCTCTGCCTCCCCTGCCACCGCTCCTCCTCCTCCTCCCGCCCCCTCACGCCTGCAGAGCTTCCATGTCCTCGGGGACACTCCTCCTCCAAAAGGCACAGCCGTCCTGCACTGCTGCGCTTGCTGGGCTGGGGTCCCTCCGATGACTCCCCAGCCCCTCCTCCCCAGAAGTCTCCAGAGACGGGGGGCAGCCCTCCTGCTCTCTCCCTTTTCCTTTCTCTTTCTCTCTTTTCTTTCTTCCCCACCTCCAGAGCTACCTCGTGAGCCTGGGGCCGGGGGCAGTAGACCCTGACTCCCCGCATCCTGAGGCCGTGGGGTGGGCAGAGGGGCCACCGAGGCCTGGGCCTGGGCCGCCAGGTGCAAGCTCTGCCTGGCCCACGCCATTAAGGCAGGCTGGACTCCAGCCCTGCTCTCCTGCCCTTCTCCTCAGACCCACTCCACCAGTCCCAGCCCGGTGCCCCTTCCCCACTAAGTGCCATCTGTCACCCGTCCCATCACCTCGCAGGGCGACGCTGAGTTCAACCGCATCATGAGCGTGGTTGACCCCAACCACAGCGGCCTTGTGACCTTCCAAGCCTTCATTGACTTCATGTCAAGGGAGACCACTGACACAGATACCGCTGACCAGGTCATCGCCTCCTTCAAGGTCCTGGCCGGGGACAAGGTGAGCGAGATGCTGGAGGGACCTGGGGCTGGCAGGAGGGTTCCCTACAGCAGGGATCAAAGCTGGCACTGGGGCACAGGGTGGCTCAGAGTCCTTCCTGCCACCCCCAGAACTTCATCACGGCCGAGGAGCTGCGGAGGGAGCTGCCCCCCGACCAGGCCGAGTACTGCATCGCCCGGATGGCGCCCTACCAGGGCCCCGACGCCGTGCCCGGGGCCCTCGACTACAAGTCCTTCTCCACGGCCCTCTACGGGGAGAGTGACCTGTGAGGCCCTGCCTGGGAACCCCGACGCCCGCTTCACGGCCTCCCGGAGGGGCCGGGAGCCCCCCCTCCCCTGACTCTGTATCTATGCAAAGCACTCTCTGCCGGTCCTTGGGTGGGGGTGGGCAGGGAGGGGCTGGGCGGGCTCTGTCCTCTCTCATTGGTTGGCCAGGAGGTCCCCCCATCAGGTGGGGGAAGGGAGACTTTTGGGGTCAGCACCTCTGGTCAGGTAAATATATATGATTTGTTGGGTTTTTTTTAACCTATGTGGAGGGGACAATGGATCCCCACAGCAACACAGGTCCCCTCTGTGCCCTGGGGACACCCCTCCACATCCAGGTCCCTTCTTTGCCCCTGAGGTCCTTCCAAGGCCTCCCACATCCAGGCCAAAGCCCCATGTGCCTTGTCCAGGAACCGCCCTGCCCTGCAAAGGGTCCAGCAGGGGGCACCACAGCTGCCCAGTGGACCACAGCCCCCCTGCTCCCCGCCCCTGCCATCTGTGATCCCAGGGGCCTGGTCTGGCAGCCGGCCCTCACCCCAGCACCAGCCCAGCCGGCCTTGGCCTTGTTCGGTCTGGTCTCAGATTTTCTAAGGACCAAAACAAAACAAAAAAACCCACAAAAACAGAACAATAAAAATTTAAAAATCCACCAAAAAACAAAAAAAAAATAAAAAACAAATTTTAAAAAACACCTAAAAAATTAAAAACTTTCAGAGAATTACTATTTACTTTATTAACTTACGGATTTATTATATAAATATATATTCACCTAGCAACATATCTTTGCCGCCTCTCGCTCTCGTAATGAAGACATAGCTGATTTGCTGCCCTCCCCGGTCTCTCACTGATTTTTCTCCTTGTTTGGGTTGGGCAGGGGTCTCTGGGGGCCTCCTGAGGTGGAGGTGGGCTGCTGGACTGGCTGCCTGGTAGTTGATGGTCCCCCCACCCCCTTTTGAGTTTATTCTGATTGATTTTTTTTTTTTCTTGGTTTCTGGATAAACCACCCTTTTGGGGACAGGATAATAAAACATGTAATATTTTTAAGGATTCCTCCCGTGTCCTCCTTCCCTCTGCTGTCTCTGTTCTCTCTCAAAAAAGTACAGGAGCCCATGGTCCCCATCCATCCCATCCGGGAGTTAGATAAGAGGGTGTCACAGGCCCCTCCGTTCCCAGCAGGGAGCCAGGCCCAGTCCACACAAGCTGCCCAGGAGGGCCCTGCAGACCCCGGCTCTGTGTGCAGGCAAGGAGACTGAGGTGCACAGAGGGGCGCTCGGCCAGCCGCTGGTGGCCAGGCCTCAGCCATACTCAGGTGCCACCCAGTGAGGGCGGGTGTCTCCAGGCAGGGGGCGGAGGGCTCGGAGCAGAGGTGGCCTTGCGTCTCCCTGCCTCCAGCAGCCGGTGCTCCTGACCTAACACCCTAGGAGAAGGTGGCCACTTCCATCCACTGGGCAAGAGAAAGAAGAGGCAGGCTGGAGGCAGGGTCCTGGGCGGGCACCAGAGCCACCCTGTACCCGAGCCCAGGCCCACCTGTCTGCGGGTCAGACAAACGACCCCCTCGCCCCCATCCAGGTGCTGGCTGCAGTGACCTGTGCAGAGAAGGGCAGGGTGAGTGCCCCCATCCCAGTCCCCCAGCCACGGGAGGCATTCTCCTTGTGCCCCAAGCAAGGGGCACAGGGTGGCACTCACGGAAGATGCAGGTGAGCTGGGCAGCGCAGGACACGAAGCGCTCAAAGTCCACACGCAAACGGCTGTCCCGGTAGCGGCTGGTGAGGGCCTGGGTCAGCTGGTTGTTCAGATGGAAGCCTAGAGGGAGGTGCCCCGGGAGCCCACCCAAGTCCTGGGGAGATGCTGACACCACAGGGCTCCGCTCCCCCTCGTTCTACATGTGGCCTGGGTTCAAGTCCCAGCTGGGTGGCCACAGGCCGCACCTTACACTTCTGAGCCCGTTCCCATCTGTCGAAGGGGTAATATGACAGTCTGGACCCACACACTAGTGTGAGAATGGAATGGCTTATCATGTTTACTGTGGCAGGCACCTATTATTGTTCCTTTTTTGTTTGTTTGTTTTTTGGTACTGAGGATTGGATTCAGGGGCACTTTACCACTGAGCCACATCCCCATCACTTTTTATTTTATATTTTGAGAAAGGGTCTCACTAGGGCTGGGTTGTGGCTAAGCCGTGGAGTATTCGCCTAGCATGTGCAAGGCCTTGGGTTCGATCCTCAACACCACATAAAAATAGATAAAGTAAAGGTATGGCGTCCAACTACAACTAAAAACAAATAAATAAATATTTTTTTAAAGGGGGTTCTCACTAAATTGCTGAGATGGCCTCTAACTTGTAATCCTCCTGCCTCAGCCTCCTGAGTTGCTGGTATTATATGTCTGCTTTTTTATTACTGGCTTATTGTTCCTTTTAAGTGCTGTAATACTTTCTCTCTGCCGCTGAGCACTGGAGAATAACTGTATGCAAACATTTTCATCAGTCTGACGCCAGTCGTTTCTCCATGCTCTACATCAGAAGTAGTTTCAAAGTCACCTTTGCTATAGAATCTTAACAGAGCCTTTCAAAAAAACACCACATGATCCTCCACCCCTCAGACACTCAGGGTTGCCTGATGACCCTCTCCTCCTCCGTCCCCACATGTCCAGGTACATAGTTACCAGGACAATTTCACCAGCTTCCACTGCACCTAACTGCACACTCATCCATTTAACAGGTAGTTATCATTAGTGGGCACCTGACACGTCTGTAACCCATCTCAGGAGGCTGAGGCAGGAGGATTGCAAGTTCAAAGTCAACCTCAGCAATTTAGTGATTCCCTAAGCAACTTAGTGAGATCCTATCTCTAAATAAATAGATAGATAGGGTTGGGGATGTGGCTCAGTGGTTAAGCAGCCCTGGATTCAATCCCTGCTACCAAAAAAAAAAAAGAGCCCTCCCAGGCATCTATCAATCGTATTTCTGTTAGTGCCGGGGGCTAGGCTGAGCTGAGTCTCTGGGTCAGGAAAACCTGGCCAGGAAACCTTCCTGGCCGAGTGACCTGCTGCAGGTCTCTGACATGGCATCTGCCCTCAGGTGTTGGGGTGGTGGGTGCTGTGCCCAGGGCAGACGGAAGGCCCTGAGAAAGAGCCAGGGCCCTGTGGTTGCCCTCTGTGTGAATTCCTACTAGAGAAACTCTCAAGGTCAGTTTTCTTCTGCCTTGAATACTCCTGGCAGGTACCAGGTGACAACGAACAAACGGTCAAACCTTCCCCCTGTTCTGGGTCATTCTCTCTCTGTTCCTGTCTCAGACTCAGCGCCCTGGTTCGCAACTTTGGCTCATCTTGTCCTACACATCCCTGAACACTTGCTCCCCACTCTGGGTCTCATTCTGTCACTCCCACTGAGTCACAGTCACCCAGCCTACTTTGTGGTGCCAGAAGGGCCGAGGTGTGGCTCAGGAGCTGGGGGTTCCCAGTGCCGACCAGCCCCTCCTCGGCCCTACACAGGAGCCCTCTCGCTCGCTTTCCCAACTTCCACGGGCTCCTGCAGTCACCCTTCGCTCCGCCAGATCACAGATAGGGACTCAAGGAGAGGGAGCTGGCAGAGGACTCCAACCCCAGCTCACCAGAATCCAGAACATTCCTTCACACTGCCCGGAAAGCCAGGGCCTCTCAGGCACCAGCTGCCAGTCTTCCCTTCCTGGAGCACCCCTACCCACCTCACCACCTCCCAGGCCACCCCCACCCTCCCCCCACTACACTGGGGCTCCCTCCCTGCCTTCCCATCTGGCCTTTTCCAGGGTCGCCCAGTCCCTGCCAGGAAATGGCAACAAAGGACTGGCCACAGCTGAGTGCCACCCAGAGCTGAGACTGGTGTAGAAGGAGGAGGGCCAGGCCCTGTCCCCATGGCCACCCCAGGGACCCTGTCCACACCTGCAGCATTCAGCGCCAGCCTCAGCTCGTAGGAGTTCATGGTCCCTGATGAGTCCTCGTCAAACTTGTCAAACGTGGCCTGGGTGGGGAGTGGAGGTCAGTCGTCCCCCGCCCCCCGCCCAGGCCCTCGAGCAGTGGTCGAGCATGCTGAAGAGGCTAAACGAGGCCTCCAAGGCCACACAGCCTGGGCTGCAGCTGCTCTCCCGGCCACAGGCCCCAGGCCAGCAGCTTAACGACTCTGTGCCTCCATTTCCCCATCTGTGACATGGGAACAAAAGCAACTCAAGGGCCTGTGAGGACAAGTCGCGCTTCCACCCACAAAGGCGCAGGGAGGGCTCAGTAAATGGTGACTTATCACTGTCATCTGTGCAGAGATCTTTGATCCCTGCCTCCTCACAGGGATCTTTCTGGCCAAGTAAAGGCCCCAGGAAGGGAGGGGACTTGGCTGGGGTCACCGCCAGAAAGGGGCTCAGCTGGAAGCTGAGATTTCAACCCAGGACCAGAGACTATTCTCCATCCCTGAAACATTCAGTGCCCCTAGAGCAACCACAGAGGGATGATGGACCCGCTAGGGACATCCCAGCCAGGTCACTCCAAGTAGAGGTAGAGTGGTCCAGTCCCCGCCCATCCCCACTCCATCCCCCGTTCTCTGGGTCCTTGATGGCCCGCAGGGTGTCTGTGCAGGGAGAGGCTGCCCTGCAGGGCCCCCCCCCCCCCCCCGCAACTTACCTGCCACACCAGCAGGTGGCTCCAGAGCTGTTGGAAGTGGTGCAGGGCCAAACTTGGCCCATGCTGTGGATGGGGGAGTCTGGTTAAGATCAATGTCTCCAGAAAAAAAGAGAGACCCCCAACATCCCCTCATGCACTGCCCCATGTACCCCAAAACACCGCAGCAGCTGCTCACAGGTCCTGACGCCGATCTCTCTAGGGGTCCTGGTGTTGGGCCTGATGTTGGTCCTGGCTACAAGAAGAAAAATGTCAATCCCTGCATGCCAGCCATCATGAGCACTCTGTGGGACACAGCTCCCCACAGCAGGCATTTTATACAGACTCAGACACGAGAGCCTGCGATTGCTCTAACTAGCAGAGCTGGGGTCTGAACCCGGCAGGGAGCTCCAGTCTGCTCACACGTGCCTCAGAGAAGGGGGAGCCAAGTGGCCTTGGCACGGGCTTGCCACAGGATCCACCATGGAGCACGTTCAGGGAGAGGCTGCCAGGTTGAAGCAAGGTTCCTGCGGCCTGACCCCCAGCAGCATCATGGATGAGCATACATGGGGAGCTCTGGGGTCCAGCTCTGGGTTGTATGGACCCCTGGCCAGCAGTCCTCCACCCGAACTCACCAGGTTCCAGGGCAATGCTTAGCAAGGTCTGGAGCTGATAGGCATTGAGTTCTTCCTCCTGGTCAGGGAAAGAGTCACTTGTGAGGCCCTTTGCTCTGGGCCAGGCCCTGAGCTAGGCTGGGCTGGGGGTGTGACAGAGACTGGGAGAACCCCAGGCCTGTCCTTTCTCAGGGTTCACCTTTGGGTGACAGGGGCAGCTTCCATAGAAGGGCACTTTGGAAAATTGAGGCGTGAGCCTGGCAGGAGGTGCAAAGGAAGGAAAATTAGAGGGTACTGCTGAAGGAAGGCTCGAGGCAGGGAAGAGGCTTGGACATCTCCAGAAAAGAAGTTCATGAGAGAGCGCACAGGGAGAGCCGGAGGGAAATCAAAATGAGCAGCCTAGGACGAGGGGCTGGAGAGCAGGAAATCAGGAGGGACTGCCCCGCAGCCCAGGGCCCCCTCACCTCCCCAGCCAGCTCCAGAAACAGCTGTGCCAACTCCAGCTCCAGGGGCTTGTAGGGGACCTGCGGAACGGGACAGGGGGCGCTTAGTCCTAGCCCAAAGCCCATCCCTCCCTCGTCGCCCCCTCCCACAGCAGCCCCTCACCATGAGGGCCTCCAGGTCGGCGCTGATCACGTCATCGATCTCCCTGCAGATTACGGACAGGCAATGTGGAGGGGGGCTGTTCCCCAAAACTGGGATGCAGGGCGTGCAGGGTCCCAGCGGGGTAGGGTGGGGTCTTGGGTCCCAAGGCACATCCCCGCCAGGCTGAGGGTCAGGGACCGGGCCTGGGGTGGGTGCCGGCCTGGGATCGTGGGGCGGGGCTGGGGCTGGGCGTGGTCCCGAGCGGGAGGGGTGTGGTTTGGGGCGGGAGTGGGGCGGGGCGGGGTCCCGGGCGGGGCTCCCCGGCTCACACTGCTGTGTGGCTTCGCTCTGAGAAGATGCGCAGCGTAAAGTCGGCTTCGTCTCCCTCCTGGGAGGCGCTGGGCACCACCAGGTAGTGGCCGGGGCTCAGGCGACAGCGGCGGCTCACGTCGCGACGGGCGCAGAAGACGGAGCGGTCGGCGCGCAGCAGTTTCGGTAAGAGTGCGCGGCTGCGCGGGGAGTCCCAGAGGCCGAGCAGCTGCGGGCAGCGGGGCATGACCACGACCCGCCCGAGCTCCCTCCCCAAGACCTCCCACCCACTGCACCCCAGACCACCTGGCCGAGCGTGCCCGGCCCCCAGACCCCGACTTTTCCCCTCCAGCGCTGGTCGACCAAGCCCCAGGGCTGGTCGAGGGATGGGCGCTGGGCCACATCTGAGACCCACCTCCTCTGGGATCTGTAAGAAGGAAGAGTGTGGCCGCTGGGCTCAGCAGCAGCAGGGGGTGCCACTGCTCAGAGCCTCCACCTCCCCTCCAGACCCGTCCCATTTCTTTGGTCCTGGGCCTTTATTGAACCTCTGACCCAGGTTCCCTCTGACTCCTTCCCAACCTTCCCCTCCCTTATCTGTGCCCTTTAGTCCCATCTCGGCCCTCCTGGTCCCCTGTCTGTCCCCACCCTGTCCCTTCAATCTTTCCCAGACACCCTCCCTCAGCTCCCTCTCTCCTCTGACCCAACCCCAGTTCCGTCCGTGCCCCTGCAATACCCCTAGAATCCCCTGCCCTCCATGCCTCAGCTCTGCCAGGGCCTCACCTGGAACACGTGGAAGCCCACGGTGAGGTAAGTGAGGCCCTTGGCCCTCAGCTTCCGGCGGTTTCGCTGGATGAGTGACAAGAGGACCGTGCACTTGGGGATGCGGCCCCCCCTCGCTGGGCCCCCTGCCCTGCCTGCCCCCCAGCCTCCCCAGGGTCCCTCCTCATCCTCATCGTCCTCCTCCTCATCAGGCTCCAGCAGGGTCAGCCGGAATTGAGGATTAGTCCAGAAGGTTTCTAACAGAGGAGAGAAAAAAGGGGTTTCCGCCTGGTGCAAGCCCCCGCCCCAGCTTGCCTCTCAGGGTCTCCGCTTGGGCCTCACCGGCACTCGGCTGGCTCCCTCCAGAGTTGAAACCTCGTACCCAGCGACCTTGGAAGGTGTGGATGTGCCAGCCACCCCCAGCCGGGTTGGGGCCCAGCACCTCTGGGCTCAGGGAGCAGATCTGGACAGTGTTGAAGTGGCGGAGGAAGTCCTGCAGTTCCATCCTGCACGCGGCAGCAGTCAGAGCCACCCAGGCCACCCCCAGAGTCCCAACCCCAAACAGCTCAAGACCTCGGAGCGACTCCCCCAATCACAAAGCCCTGCAATTCCTTACATACTGCCAGGTACCCCTTGATCTCCAGAAATCGCTGCGCCTCCAGGTCCCCCAGTGTCTCCAAGTCCTCAGAAATGCTCCACAAGTAGCCAAGATTCACAGAGTCCCCCCAAACATGGTCAAATTGCCTTTACAAAACCCCCACCATTGAGACCCTCAGTCTCCCAATTATCAACAAGTATCCTTCAAATCCTCAATTCTATCAAAATTCAAGAAATGCCAAATGTCACCTAACCTCCCTAAATACTACCCAATCCCTTCCAAACTCCCCAAAGACGACTTTGCTGCCCAATTCCCTAAACATCACCTCGACTACTTCTTGGCTTTGCAAAATAGAGCCCGACTCCCAAGTTGCCGCCGAGAATGACGCCGTCTCCCTATTAGGCCCCATCTCCAAGGACATCTCCCATGTCTCTCCTCACCCTGAGCCCCCTGATTCAGTGCCCTCCTAGAGGCAGAGCTGGGTCCCTGAGAACTCACCAGAACTCGCCATCCTCCTTCTTCACCAGCAGGGCCTCTCGCCACTCAGCGGGCAGCGCATCCCAGCGTGGGCAGCTGGAGAGAGGGGTGTGAGGGGTGGGCAGGTGGGGCCCAGCCACCCACCCACCCCAGGCCCTTCCCACCTGTCACTCCAGGCCCCGGTCCACTCCACACGGCCCCACGGGTTCCGCAGTCGCAGCAGCCTCACTTTGGTGAAGCCCAGGGACATCTAAGGACAGCAGCATCGGTAGGGTGGCACCTGGACACCCCCTGCCAGTCTACCCGTGGGGGCTGCTCACCTTGTGTGTGCCAGTGACTGAATATGCATGTCCCCTCACCAACCCGTCCTCTGTCCAGTACTCGCCCCGATCACTCTGGGAAGGGGACCAGAGACAATGAGTCTGGGGTGGGGGAGGGCAACTGCTGTCCCCATGCTCCCAACCTCCTGCCACCCAAAGCCCAGCATTGAATGGCATGGGGCTCAGAGAGGGCGCTGGAGTTGGAGAGTACAGGACACAGGACGGGGAGAGGGAGAGGGAGGGAGAAGAACCAGACAAGGCCAGAGGGAAAGAGGCTCCTGAGGCTGGGGAGACTCAGAACCGAGAGACCAGGAGGGGAGACACCGAGACAGAGGAGCAGGCGCCAAGCAGAGGCTTAACTACGTGGCTGAGTGAGTGCGTCCGAGAACCCAGGAATGACTGAGCGCATGGCGGGGTCTCGGTTGCACACACGATGACCCAGGCTAAGCCCATGAGAATCAATCCTGGGGCTTCTGCTGAAGTTCTCACAACTAGTCTTTTTTTCTTTGCCACTGAAGATGGAATACAGGGCTGCTCTACCACTGAGCCACAACCCCAGCCCTCTTTATTATTATTTTTTGACCTTTTGGGTGGCATGGGCTACCTGTAGCTATGGGGACCCCTTTGTACCCCAATGACTAAAAAGCCTACCTGAGAGTGAGACTAACTCTGTTCCAGGATAGAAAAACACGTTTGCAACCTCCTCTGAGCACCTAGATCCAGCTGTTCCTGAAGCTTTTAGTTGGAAGAGCAAATAACATTTCCATCTAACCTTCTCCAGTTTGATGTGTGAGAGAGAATAAGACAGCAGCAGGAGCTGAGAGGACAAGGACAGGAAGCTCCCCTCCCGCCGCACCCCCGACTCAGCTCTGGTCCTGACAGGGGTCTGTGCGGGGGTCCAGCTCTCACCAGGGCAGTGGCACCCACAAGGGACTCCTTGACCAGGGCGTGGCGAAGGACAGAGAAGAGGCCTGGAGTGTCCTGCCTCAGGTAGAGCACCTCGCCCACGCCGCCCGTGAAGTCCACGAAGGCCTCGTTCATGTGGCCGCCTCGCATCACCTCATAGGAGCCGTGCAGCCTGCGGGGGCGGGGGGGGGGACTGAGAGTCTCCGATCTGGGGCCTCTGTCCCGTATGGGGACCCCCAGGGGCCATCCCCGAAACTCTCCCTGAACCCATGACACTTGCTAGAAAGCCTTGGAGCCTCGACAGAGAGCCCTGGGGACTGCCCGGGTCCTGGGAGTCCAGCCCTGTGTCCAAAGTGTTGAGTTTCGGGGGAGACGTCTGCTTTAGGGGTGATTTGTCTGGGCTTGTCAGGCATCCAGAGCCTCGGGATGGGCGAGTAAAATCCTGAGGGTCCCAGGGTTACAGGCACTGTTTTGGAGGTTCTCTAGATGAGGCCCTAGACGGGGGGTGGCCTGAGATCACAGGTCCCTGAGGGGGAAAAATACAGGATCTGGAGAACCTGGGGTCTTTCAGGAGATGTCAGGGTCCTTAGGACTTATGTGAGGGGCCGGGGCTGGGGGCCGGGCCAGGGCTCAGTGTGGAGCCTCGCCTTGCTCAGATGGGCCCTGGGTTCCATCCTCAGCGCCCCATAAAAATGAATGAATGGAACAAAGGCACTGTGTCCACCGGCTCCTAAAACTACGTGTTTGAGAAAAAACAAAAGAGCTACTGGGTGAAGGATGGGCTCCGGGATGCTTCCCCTACACGTCCGCAGGGCACGTCGCGACAGCAGGGTTCTGGGGTTGTGACTTGGCGTGGGATCCTTGGTGGCATGCCTAGGGGACTCCGGAGGTTGGGGTCTCGGGATCCCTGTAACTTGGGGGCCCACGTGGGGTCTGGGGGTCCTCACTTGGCGTAGGCCTTTTCCAGGAGGGGGGCCCAGAACTCATTCCGCTGCTCCGAGCGCACGAACATCAGCTTCCCCTCGCGCACGGGCAGCCTGTCGTCCACCACCACGTCCACCCAGCGGCCAAACTGCCAGAGCTGGCAGGACAGGGGACACAGCTCCAACTGGGCTCCCAAAGCCAGTCCTCCCCGGGCCCACCCCTGCCCCTGCTGCCCCAGGCCCATAGCCCCACAGGGACACTGTCCACCGTGAAGTCCATGTCACCACAGGGCAGCGGAGGCCTGCACAGAGGACCTGGCTTCTACCTGGAAGTGGAAGACACCTGCGTAGCCATCTTGGAAACCCTGTCCAGGGGGGACCACGCGGCACAGGAGTCGGGGGTGCAGAGTGAGGGCGGCGGCGGCGGCCAGGAGCCAGCAGTTACCTGGGGGGAGGCTGGGTGAGGAGGAACAGGCAGAGGGGAGGGAGGAGCGGGACGGGAGGCAAGGACAGGGCCTGGACGGGGGCGGAGGGGGGTCTCACCCAGGCTCCCCTGACACACGTCCGTGCGGCTCATGTCTTCACAGATGAACTGGGGCTCGGCGCAGAACTCCTGGGGGGGAGGCCAGACCTCAGCCCCGGAGGGAGGGACAGCAGGGAGCTCAGATGCTGCGTCCCCTCCTGCCCTTCCCTGCTCCAGGGTGACGGGGCCTCTGACCAGGACCACCCAGCAGGTCCCTGAGCCGAGCTCAGCCTCCCTGGGCCTCCCTGAGTCCCGGATGGCTGGACCTGCTCTGAGACCCAGGGGTCCAGGGCCCGGTCCTCCTCCCTCAGACCCAGGGGTCCAGGCCCCAGCCTCCTCCCTCAGACCCAGGGGTCCAGGGCCCCAGCCTCCTCCCTCAGACCCAGGGGTCCAGGGCCCCAGCCTCCTCCCTCAGACCCAGGGGTCCAGGGCCCCAGCCTCCTCCCTCAGACCCAGGGGTCCAGGGCCCCAGCCTCCTCCCTCAGACCCAGGAGTCCAGGGCCCCAGCCTCCTCCCTCAGACCCAGCCTCCTCCCTCAGACCCAGCCTCCTCCCTCAGACCCAGGAGTCCAGGGCCCCAGCCTCCTCCCTCAGACCCAGGAGTCCAGGGCCCCAGCCTCCTCCCTCAGACCCAGGAGTCCAGGGCCCCAGCCTCCTCCCTCAGACCCAGGAGTCCAGGGCCCCAGCCTCCTCCCTCAGACCCAGCCTCCTCCCTCAGACCCAGCCTCCTCCCTCAGACCCAGCCTCCTCCCTCAGACCCGGGGTCCGGCCCCAGCCTCCTCCTTCAAACCCAGAAATCCAGGGCCCCAGCCTCCTCCCTCAGACCCGGGGTCCGGCCCCAGCCCCACTTTACATGGGGCCTCTTCCACTCCACCCCTTTGGCCTTCTCGGAGTCAGGTCCCAGGATGTCATAGCCAAGGGCATCAGGGCCAGCAGGGAAGCAAGGGTCGCGGAACAGGATCCCTGAATCCAGGCAGGCCGCTCGGATTGCCTCGTAGACCTGGCCTCGAAAGGGCTGGGGGCCCCTGGCTCCGGGCCCTGCCTCCTCGTCCACCAGCTGGATGGTGACCTTCCTGCTGCTGCCACACTCCATCTGGACACTCTGATCTCACAGACTGGCCCAGGCCCTTTAACCTCCTGAGTCACGGAGGCGGGCCTCTGCCCCCTCCGCGCTGCGCTGGGGGTCTTTAGGAGCCTTCCCTTGTTAACATTAATTGATGGTTTGGGTGCCCGAGAGCAGGACGCCTCTTCAGTGGTTTCCTCCCTGGGGCGTGGGGCCTTCAGTTGTGGCCAGGATAGCAGCTTAATGGGCTTGGCCAGCAGCAGGAGGAAAGGTGGGCAGAGCTGAGGAGGACTGGCTGCCAATGTGGGAGTGCCAGAAGGAGGTCAGTGTGGGGGTGTGTTTCAGCCTGCATGACCTGTGGGGCTGTCGAGGCAGGGATGGGGAGGGAGGCGAGGTGACCTCTGTGTCCATATCTCGCTGTCTCCTGTCTGCCCATGGCTCCCTTATGTCTCCCTCTCTTCTCCACCTCGCTTCTGTGTCTCCCCCAGATCTCTTGGCTCTTGGAACTTTGTCTCTCTCTCTCTCTCTCTCTCTCTCTCTCTCTCTCTCTCTCTCTCTCTCTGTGTCTCCCTCTGTCTCCATCTCTGAACACCCACCTCTCTCTTCCTGTTCTGGGAATTGAACCCTGGGCACTTTGCCACTGAGCCACATCCCCAGTCCTTTTTAAATCTCTCTATTTTTCATATTTTACTTTATTACTTACTTTAAAATTCATTTTGAGACAGGTTCTCGGAGGCGGTGGAGTCTGGCTTCAAAATCATGATCCCCCGCCTCCGCCACTCCCCGCCTCCCAGTTGCTGGGGTCCGGGGTCCTGGGCGTGTGCCACCGTGGATCCCCTCTTGCCCACCAGCTTCTCCTTGTCCCTGTCTTGTGTCTGCCCCACTCTCGGGGCCTCTCCACCCTGTTCTCTGTCCCTGTGACCCCCCCCCGTGGCTCTATCACAGCTCTCCTTGGGCTCACGTCCCCCAAGCCCTTGGAAAGGTGGACAGCCGGGTCTGGGGTGACCACAGAGGGACAGCTCTACCTGTCTGGTGCTGGGAGCCAGGGTCCTCTGGGCCCACAATGCCCCATGCCACCCACAGGCACTCAGAGCACGGCCACCCAAAGGGGTGGTGAAGCAGGCTTTCTTCCTGCAGAATTGCCCAGAGCCCCCGCCAGGAGGTATCACGTGGTCCCTGCACTTGTGTCTTCGTGCAAGTTGCTAAGCGCTCCGTGCCTCAGTTTCCCCATCTGTACCATGTGGTGATCCTAGGCACTATCTCAGAGGGTTGTTGTAAACAGCAACTGGAGTGTGTTCAGAGGAGCATTTGAGGTATAGCAGCTGCTCAATAAACCTTAGATGTTCTGAGCACATCCTGAGGTTCCCTCACGATTATGCCCCTCTTCCTTGGTCATCTCGGTCTTCTTGCTGCAGTCTCTTCTCTTCCTTGCCACCCCTCCAGCTTCCCCCCACCATTTGCCCCTAGGTCCCACTAACCCTAGGAGCAAGTATTCAATAAAACCTGACTGACATCTTGCAATGACCAGGAGTCACCTGTCCTGTAAAGACTGCCTGTTCCGCCCCCAGGTCCACCTGCCCCTGCCCTCTGCCCCTCACTGAAGGGCACACCTGGTGTTGCAGGGCTCTGGTCACACCCCACCCAGGAGAGTGTTCTACACACCACCTACAACCAGGCCCCAAATGCGCTTTCCCAGGACAGCGGGAGAGAAACCGCACCGACGCGATTGTAGGGATGGCTGCTGTTTTGTTTGTGTTTTGCCCGCTGCGGAGGGAACGGGCCTCGCGCTGCTCGGCAAGTGCTGTGCCACCGAGGTGCAGCGCTAACCCGGGGGTCTGTCGTCTTCAGAGCCCAGCACCAGGCTCAAGCAGGGCTGCCGCTTCCCGCAGCCAAACGGAGGGCATCCGACCTGCCAATCCGGCCCAGGGCCACGCCCCGGCCACGCCCCCTCCTAAGAGTGAGAGCCTCAGCCCCACTTCCTCCCCTTTCCATCCTTTCAAGAAGGACCGTGCTGGGTTCCTCCTTCACCAGCCAGGACTGCACCCGTGGGTTCAATCCCCAGGACCAAAAGAGGCAGCTTAATAAAGTAAAAAATAATAATTAAGACCCACCTCAGGCCAAGAGAAGACATTTTTTACACATATACTATTAAGTGTGTATAGGGAATAAATACAGTAACCGCTGTTCGAAGTGCTTACTCTAAATACCGTGGTCCCTGAGCTACGGTGCACCAAGTAGTATTCCAAGCCCTTCACTCCTAGCGTCTCATTTAATCATCCTCTGAGCTTTGAGAGGCGGGGTTTACAGTGATCCCCCATCTTACAAGAGGAGACTGAGGCACAGAAAAGTGTGGTGATTTTCCCAGGTTCTCAGAGTCACAGAATAGGGATTTAATTCAGATAGTCTGATTTACCTCGCAAAAGTCAGTATTCAGAATATATAAAGAGCTGCTATAAATAAACAACAATTACTCCAACAGAAAAGTGACAAAAGACATAAAGTACCAATAGTCAATAAAGATATAAAAAATGTACTCCAAATGCTAAGTAGGGTCCCATGAAGTAACATCATATCCACTAGATTAGGAAGAAAAATTAAGACATCTGAAAATATCAATTGTTCATAGAAATGTAAAGGAAAAGAACAGCTGATGGAGGTGGAACCTGGTCCAATCACTGTGGAAGACAACTCGACATTCCTCAGTAAATGTCTGCCCTGGATCCTAGCACTTCCATTCCTAGGTGTGTATACAGTTGGCCTCGTTTCTGCAGATTCCACATCCAAGGATTAAATCAATGGCAGATCAGAGAGATTGAGAAAAAAACTGTGCTGAATGTGTCCAAGACTTTATTCTTATTAGTCCCTAAACAACACAGCAGCGAACTGTTACATGGCGTTACATTGGATTAGGTTCGAGGCCAGCTGGGATTATTTAAATCAATGGGAGGGCTTGGGAGGTGATATGCAAATGACACGCCACGTTACATCCGGGACTTGGGCATCTGCAGGTTTTGGAACCTTGGAACCGATCCCTTGCAGACACTGCCTGTATACCTGAAAGAAATGCATACACGCGTCCCAGATGACACGTTCAAGAACGTCCAGAGCAGCATGGATCGTAAAGAAAAAAAAAACCTGAAAACAACTCTAATATCTACCATCAGCAAAATGAGCATCTAGACTTAAGGGACCTGAGGGGCTGGGGTGTAGCTTGTGGCAGATACTTTCCAGCATATCCTCTTTCCTCAGCTCCACAAGTTAAGAAAAGACACCTCTACTAGCGACAGTAGAGGTCACCTTATTTGGGTCATACTTTCGAATAAGTGAACCACTAATAACTTTATGATATTTATGGGATAAGTAAAAATGTGGAGCTGCATGTTTAGTGATAATTATCATTGGGTTTTTTTGGTTTTAATCAGGACTCAAGTTACGTGGGTTCACTGTAGCTGATGGATGCTTCTTTCCCCCCATACTGGGGATGGACCCCTGGCCCTGCCCCACATGGCTCCGCATTTATGATGTAAACAGCAGGTGCCCAATCACCACATCCTCTGGGATGGCAGAGCTGGGCTGCTGGTCACTAGCGGCTCGCCACAGCACTACAAAAACAAACCAATCCAAACAGTGTCAGAATTCCTTTTGAGAGCGTCAGGGTCACAAATCACCCCACAGAGAGGTTGGCGCAGGGGGACCTCCGGCCAGGCCTAGGGAGCCACCGACATGTACCCAAAAGAAGGGATTCCCGGGCGGGACCCAATCAGCATAAGCCATGAAGCCCACACAGAGGTCAGCAGAGCTGAGCCCTGCCCACCGAGGCCAGCTGGGGATACAGCAACCATCGGTGACACAGTCAGGACACCGCTGAACAACCTGTTCTGTGGGTTGCACCCAGCGGCTGGCCCTCCCTCTGGGCGCTCTCCCCTCCCATTACAGAAGAGGTTCATTTGAGGTGAACTTCATCATATCCTTGGGGACCATATACACGAAGTCTTATAACTGGCACCGGCTGACCACAAGCCATCTGGAACCGTGGGGCTCCACAGGATCATCTAGAACGCACATCTGGTGCTGTCCCTGAGAGTGAACCACGTGGGTTTACTGGGTGCATGCACTCTGTTTATTTCATCTATCTATTTACCTATTTTTAGTACCAAGGGTTGAACCCAGGGACCCTTAACTGGGCCACATCCCCAGAGCCTTTTTCTTTTGAGACAGGGTCTCACTAAGTTGCTTAGGGTCTCACTAAATTGCTGAAGCTGGCCTCAAACTTGCGATCCTCCTGCCTCAGCCTCCAGAGTAGCTGGGATTACGGATGTGCACCAACACACCCAGCTGCCCACACTCCGTCTAAAGAAGGGCAGGAAATATTTTAAATATCTTAGTTGACATCGCATGATGCCAATTTCCACTGGTGCCAAGACAAACGCATTTTCGACACTCACTCTGTGAATGAATGAGCCCCTCAGCCGCTTCCCACCTTCATCGTGCAGTTAGTTCTCAGGCGCTTTTTTAAGGTAACGGATGGAAGCAGATGACCCTTTGGCCTCTGGTGGGACGCCGGCCGCCTGGCTGCCCTGGAGGTGTGGATCCTGGCCTGGGAGGACTAAGGCCCCCGTGTGAGCCGAAGTGACAGTGTTTCTTTCACTCTGTCATAGACTGGGTTCCTGAGAACCTGACTCTGAGACAAAAGTCACTTGCAGAGGGCTGTGGTGGGGTGTGGGGGAGACACCCCGAAACAAGTGAGCCAGGCAGGACCGTCAGAGAGAGAAGCTGGCCTCTGGTGGTTGGAAGAACCCCCGCCAGGCCCCGTGGAGCACTGGAGGTGGGAGGGCCCTTGACTCGCCCCGGATCGCCCCCAGGGGCCTTGGCATCCTGGCATCCTCTGGGCATTGGCCAGGGGCCGCCCTGGGAGGGGCATAACTGTGGGCAAGGCCACTGGCCCAAAAGGGACGCCACTGAGAGAGGCCAGCAGGGACACCCCCAACACTTCCCATCCGCGGGTCCCCCACAGGGAACCTTTGGTACATTCAAAATCAAAGTGAATCATATTCT